AAGCGTATAATTTTAAGGAAAGTGAAAGTTTTAGGAAGTTTTTTTAGGAATGAAAGAGAGGAAAAGAAAGGCAATTTTATTCATAATATCGAATATAATATAGGACATAAAGAATCTTTTTTATCTCTCATCGTGATATAATAACGATTTCAGATAAATGATTTCGATGATGGAAATTACTCACTGATGGACGTACGTACGCATTATTGTTAAATTAATTGAATGAATGCATTTATATGTATATCAAGATATTAACACGTGTCCGCAGTTCTGTCACAGACTGTCAGAACTTAAATAACAATGAAGGCCATCCTACGGAAGACGAGCATAAACGATTACAATAGATTTCATTGGAACATTTTACCCAGCTACGATGATTACCTTGTCGAAGAAGAGAATAATGAAAGTGAGTAAACAAAACAGATAAAATAGGATGATTCCTATCTAAAAATTCCAAAGAACAATTATTAATTTTTAAGAAAAACAAACAAGTAGTATCATGAGTATCGTGTCTTATTACGCACGCGTTTCTTATATTATTTTTATATTTCAAGTTGAAAGATATATGTACCTAAATCGTTACAATCGTTTCGAACAGAGAATAATCAGTCATCAGTATGATAGATGATGAGATGGACTCAATAACGACGGGATCGCGCGTAGAATGTGAAATATGACGTATCGTGTTATTGAACGATAACTGCAAGTTATTAAGGTCGATTGACGAGTAACTCGATGTAAGGAGCGCATAAAATGTCTCTCAACTTTTGTGTGGCGCGTGTGTGTGCATGTGTATGGCGCGCGCGCGTGTGCGCGTGTGTGCGTGTGGGCGCGTGTGCGTGTATGCATGCGTGTGTGCATGCGTGTGTGCATGCGTGTATGCATGCGTGTGCGTATGCATGGAAGAGTGTATGCGTTTCGTATACAAAGCCGTGTCTCTCTGGCTTACTCTCGGGATTGGTTGCGACCTTATGTGTGTAAATTATTCCAACACAAATGTCGCTTGGTAGATTTATTTAACTCTCATAGTACGTAGACACTCGCGAACTCGATGAGTTAACATTCGTGCTTCGATCGAGGACGGGCACATAATAATCTATCTGTCTAGTCCATTTTCGACTTTGGCGCGCATTTAATGTCTCGTTTGTCATTGACGTTGAAATAAAAAGTTTTGTGTTTACATTGTTATTCAAGATTTGTGGTTGCTCAGGATTAGTTCAGTGAATAGGCAACGATAAAAAAAGTACCTATCGTTCACGAGAGTAAATTGAACGATTGAATGTACAATTAACTACCTATATCACAAAAATATAAGAATTTCGCGCAATAGTGTTTTCTTTTCTTTTCTCTTTCTTCTTTTTTAAAAGTGATTTAATTCCTCTCAATTCAATAGAATCGATTGGAAATGGTTCAACAGCTTTTCGCGCACAACTAGTTTTTTCTATTCTTCTTTACATGAATTTTTTAGAAATTGTATTATCGAAATTCAGTCTTTATTATTATTATTAGTAGTATTAATTAGTAGTATTAATATTATTAGTAGTATTATTAGTAGTATTAATATCATCGAATTAATAAAAAACGAGAATACAATTTCTGTGGAAAGTAATTGAAGCATATTATTCACAACTGTTGATCCTTAATTTTATTACATTTGCAGATTATATATATTATAAGAAATTCTGTTGTAGAAGACTGGGGCAAGTTGTTACATGGGGTAAGTTGTTGCAGTTAGGTTTTTTAGTTGTTGAATGGCAGTACATTTTTACAAATCTTCGTACGTGATTCTTATGATACTCTTTACAATTTCACATAGTTTAGCCGCTATAGTTGCATTGTCTAGAAGATGCTACGTTTGTTTTCCTGATTTTCACTGTGAAAATAAATATTTCATTGTATAAATTGTACCTATTATTATACATATACGTATAAGATAGAGATATTTTGATTATGCTTGTGTATGTTTTTTTTATATATACATTTGGTTATAATAACATGTTTTTGTTTTATTTGAATCTATGTGTGTACTGATTTTCGATTTGTATTTTTCTGAATAAAAAATGAAGAGTTCCGGCAGATTGCATTTCGATCGGAATAGGTTGTTACACTGATCCCATACTTGGAATTAAAAATCGTCTTTGTTTCTCTTCTACAAAATTGTGTGGTCTTACAAAAAGAAAGAAAAGTAGAGGACCTACTGTATAACAAGTATAAAAACATGAATCTCTTGAAAATCATTTTTAGTGTTAGTATTTTAATGTTTTTTTAATGATAATAAATAGCTCAACTGAGGAGCTTACTAATATATATGTCATTTTAACTTAATGACATATGTTTTTCGCAAATTTGTAACTAAAATCACTTTATATTATTTTTGATTAGAACTAACTATTAAGCACTACTATTAATGCATTTTTTATAAAGGCTGTAGCCTAAAGAGAGTAAAAGTATCCCAGACTCAAAAAAATTTAAAACTTTTTAAATAAAGATGACATATTCAGAAACTAATTCAGGCACACATTAATTTTTAATATAGAAGATCGCATAATTGTTGAATTTTAAATTTAAATGTTATATCTGAATATATATAAAATATATAAAAAAAAATTATATTATAAAGAATGAATATATGTATATGTTATAAAGTAGTTAGAAACTAAGTTAGAAAAAAAAATAATTTTCCTTTTCAGACCAAAAGAAATTACAATATTTATTAAACGTGAAATTTGTAGTGATATCTTCCGAGTACACTTACGAAATTTTTTGGTAGAACTTACATTGATATTTTTAATATATATTTTTTCAAACTTTTTTAAATTGATATTTTGTAATTGAAAATAAGTATTAATATTTAAACTATTGGGAGTACAAATTAGTTCGGTCCGTTTCCCTAAAGATGGCTCCAGCTGTTGTGAATGGTTCATAGTGACAGCTGATTTTGGCGGTTTCAGAGAAGTTTGCTAATAATACTACATTTGCTAATAATATTCAGTTTATATCGCTTTGAGTTTCATACAAAAACCTTGATTTTTACTGTGTTTGAAATGTCGAATTTTGTTTTAACCAAACAGCATTTGCGAGAGGTTTTGATTTTCTGCTTTAATTGGAAGAAAAGTGCAGTTGAAGCCCATCGAATGCTTGTCGAAGTTTATGATGACACTGCTCCAACTAATAAATCATGTAGGGAATGATTTCGACGTTTCAAGGATGGAGATTTCAGTCGTTGAAGACAAGCCTCGCTCTGAACAGTCAAAAAAATTCGAAGACAAAAAATTAGAGGCATTACTCGAAGAAGATCAGAGTCAAACGCAAGAGGAACTTGCAGAATCATTGAGGGTAACTCAACAAGCCATTTCTGTACGATTGAGAGCCATGGGAATGATTCAAAAACAAGGAAATTGGGTGCCTTATGAACTGAAACCGAGAGACGTTGAAAGGCGATTTTTCACTTGCGAACAGCTGATTCAAAGACAACAGAGAAAAGATTTTTTGCATCGGATTGTGACTGAACATGAGAAGTAGATGTTCTACGACAATCCCAAGAAGAAAAAATACTATGCTAAACCCGGTCAATCGTTGCCATCGACTTCAACATCAACACCACGGCCATTCATGGTTCGAAGATCATGCTCTGTATCTGGTGGGATCAAAAGAGTCTTGTTTATTATAAGCTGCTGAAACCTGGCGATTCCATTACGGGCGACCGGTATCGATTACAATTGATTCGTTTGAGCCGTGCATTGCGAGAAAAACAGCCGGAATATGAGCAAAGACATGATAAAGTTATTCTTCTTCATGATAACGCTCGGCCTCATGTCGCTAAAATCGTAAAAAAATATTTGGAAATGCTCAAATGGGATGTTTTACTGCACCCGTCGTATTCTCTGGACATTGCTCCTTTTGGTTACTGATTGTTCCGAAGGATGCAGCAAGTCACCGATTCACTTCTTTCACAGAAATCGAAAATTGGCTCCAAAATTGGATCGCCTCCAAAGATGAGTCATTTTTTCGAGATGGAATTCGAAAATTGTCTGAGAGATGAGAAAAAATAGTAGGCAGCGATAGACAATAATTGATCTGTTCATTCATTTTTGTTTTGAAATAAATGCATAAAAAAACGGACCGAACTAATTTGTACTCCCAATATTTATTTTGGGTTATTCCATATTATAAAATTGAATTTCTCTACTTTTACATTTATTTTTATTAACATTTACACATACATTTATACAAGAATATTTATATATAAGAATATTTATAATCATCATTGTTATTTTTTTTAATTATACTAATTTCATCTTTTTTAAAAAGTGCACTTAAAGTTTGAGTTGTGGTCTTGAGATTTTTATCAAATATTTTTTAAATGGAAGATAATAAATAACAGCAATCATACGAGTGTAAGAACTATTCTCCGACCATTTACATAAAAGTATCTTTTAATGTTATCATCGCCAGTATCATATTAGAAATATACTCAATAAAATATCTATAAGTTTTAGTCTATTCATATGTAAAATAACATACTCAAACTTAAAGTTCACTCACACCATATCAACAGTAAGACTTATAGATGTTTCATTGGATATATTTGTCTAATGGTATTGCTGGCAATAATAAAAGATTTGTGTGAACGTGCAAATGATCAGAGAACAATTAATTCTTACGCTCATATGATAAGAAATTTTCAACTTTCAATATTTAAAGACATTAGTATGGAAAAATTGCTAATAAAAAATTGTAACTTTCTTCCCCTATTTGTGTATTCAGACAAAATTTATTTCATTTCTCTTTTTTTTTTACAAATGTATCAATATTTTTTATACCTTCTATATAAATATATTAGTCAAAATAAACCGATAATAAAAACGTAGATTAATTTTATTGATCTGTCCTATGTCTACTAAATATAGGTACATAATATAAAAAGGGCGTTACCAGCAAGGACATAGTAAATCATATCCTTGTTTAATATTGGCAAACAACAAGGATGTAATGATTTACTGTGTCTGCTGGAAAATGTCCAAAATATATTCATCTCTCTTCCCCCCCCCTCCTCTCTCTCTCTCTCTCTCTTAAAGGTGCATTAAATTAAATTTTATAATTTGTTTCATGCTTTCAGCATGTTATATTCTCTCTCGCTTCATTTATAAATTTTGTAGATTTTATTACTCTTTATTTTTATTTCATAGTTATTATTATTATAGTGAATCGTATTTTTCTGTTCGTTCTCTTTACTAGTCATTTTGTATAGAGAGCCTGCTCTATAAGGATATCATACATGCTTTTATTTCTCTGTTCATCTTTTAATAAATGGCACATAAATGGCGATGGTGATTTTACTAGATTAATTTTGTCTAATGGAGACATGTTTAATTGTTTTCAGAGAAAATGCAAAGTGGCAGTAATTTGAACCAATTCAGTGACGATGACTTTTTCAGTAGTGGACCGTGTCCATCGTGCAGATTGGCTATCAATAAGGAAACCGGTAGACTCAAGTGTGTGACAAGTCGCAATTGTTTAGTTTTTACACATTTCGGTATAAATTTTTCACATTTTTAACAAGTGAGTGAATCTTTTGTAAAACTTAGATGGTGTACTGGCGGAAGCGAAGCGCGACGTTTTCGTGTCAAACTCATGCTCCTTATACCTGCCCTGTTGCTACCAATCACCATAGTGTTTATCGCTTTGTCACGATTTCAAGTTACAACCAAAACCTCTGACTCACACGCGGTTTCTATTTACGAACAACAGGAACAGGATAAAGAAAAGATCGAAGATGACGTCTTTTGGTGTAAGTTCCATGACTGCGAATACACACAATAGCTGAAAGAATATAATAAACAATTAATCTTTAGACCACTGGATATATCGGTTTTCGTTTTAATTTCATGATATAATTAGTTAAAATATATGATATTTCATGATATAGGTACATAAAAATCAACATATAAATCAATAATAAAACTAAAAAATAAAAAAAAATTTTTTTTATGAAAGAAATATCAAAAAATTCAAAAAACAAAAAGATAAAAAAGAAAAAGGAGAAACCATGTCGTTAGATCTGAATAAAATCGAAGGAGAGTTCTACCCAAGATTTATTTTGCTGTTGTTTTACATGCAATAATGGCTTCAGTATTCTGAGGTCAGAAAATGATAATTTTCTGACCTCACTGCAGTATTTAGCGACTTCAAAAATTATTATATATGCATTATTTACAAATTTAAAAAATTTTAATTTTTTCCATAACCTTCCCCACTGAAGAGACGATATATCGGCTCAAGCCATGATGAAAATAATGTATAGGATATATCCTTGATACATGTTTTTGTTACTTTTCAATGAGGTTTTGATTGACCTTTAATGTCGGTGGTCTAAAGGTTAAGAATTTTCATTATTATACACGATAAACGATTTTTAGTTAACGCTTTTCCTTCAATAATTAAATCTATTCTGATGTAACGCTTGTACAGAATAAATAGTGATTATATTGTCAATAGATTAATTTACGATATTGTCAATATTATTATGCGAAATAGTCAATAGAATTATGAAATTAAAAAACTTAATCAGTCTCGTCATTATTTGCGATCATATTAAATAGTACATACGACAAAATGTTAAAGAGTATAAAAGTATACATTCTCTCTTAATAAATTGAAATGATACCAAATGATTTTCTTGACGATTATAGAGATGAAAAAGTTAAATTACAATAGATACGTTCTTTAAGAACGCCCTTAAAAAACTGATTAATCACTTTATTAGCTACCACTCGCAATGGCGTAGAACGTATGGCAGAAGAAACCGAAGAAGAGGATCGATTTTTGCTTCCCGATATGAAAACGAGTTACGTGCCTGTAGATACGCATCCTCCATTTCAATCGCAATCGCCCCATCGACGAAAAAGAGACATCGACGGGGTACTTAATCTCCAAACAAATTCAAGGCGATCTCAAATTTGGTTTTCTGATTAAAAAATAATCCTCTTTCCTCCTTTTTTACATACTCCTCTTACCGTTTTTCATATTTTCGTATTTCATCTCATTCTCTTTTATCTTCCTATTCTATTCCCATATCCTTGAGTCTGCAATCATTTTATCCACACATGCCACAAGTGGCAAGAAAATATCCCGAAGACAACACGATCCTTTTCAGGAGAATTACACGAGGGATGGTTTCAAATTGGACAATCAGGCGACGTCTTCATCTCATGCACACGCTCGTTTAGCTAACGGCAAATTGGCAGAATCCTTTTTAAGGGAAGAATCAGATTCAAGAATCAGGAAAAGTGGTATGGCGGACAGTTCCTTTTTGGCTTCAGACAACGTGAGGCTGTATGACAAAATCGACAAAATCAAGGTACAAGTATGGATCCTACTAATGATTGATCAGGAAATTATCATTATTGGTAATTCTCGCAATAGTTGCTAGAGATAAATAGTTCAATAATATCTCCATAATTTTATATATATATATACAATTAGAGCATTGGAAAAAGTAAAGTGTTAATCGGAATCTAATAGTGCGCAACAGTTGTGTATTTTATGCCAAGAAGAAATACGCAAAACCCCGATGCAGTTGCATTATATCTTCTGTTCTGCCAAGAGTGTTAAAGAGTTTTAAAATTTAACTTAAAAATTATGAAATACTAATTTCTGAATCCAACCGAATTCGCTAGATTGCCCCTCACGAAGGGGCATTTGCTAATACAACATAGATGAGGATCTGAATTTCCTATATTCCTTTAGTCATGTTTATTCTCTTATTCCTCAAAATCTCTTTCAGTATTAGCTTATCAATTAGAAAACTCGTTGATTCAAAATTGCGTATCAAATATCCAAAATGGCGAATTAAAATAGTATTTGTATTCACATTTGAAATCAATCATGATGAATAGTAAACACAAAAGCAAAAGGACATTGCCGATTCAGAAATTAACTTTTTTTTAATTTTTAAGTTAAAGAAAACTTCAACACTCTTGGCAGAACAGAAGATATATAATCTGACTGCATTAGAGTTTTGCAAATTTCTTCTTGGCGCATAAAGTACTAACTATTGGCGCACTATTAGATTTCGATTAACATGACTTTACTTTCTTCGGCTCACCTTCACATATACATATGTATATATATACGTATATATAGAGCTCTTAAGGTCGCCCATTATGTAATACAACCACCTTAAAATATATATATATATATATATATATTTTAAGGTGGTTGTATTACATAATGGGCGAACAATCGTCCAGGACATGGGGTCGCTCAGTAGAGAAAAAAATTACTGTCCAAAATCTGCAGCAATTTTTTAACAGTCATTTTTATTTCTCCATTGTTTGCACCCGTATTTGAATTGATAAGCGAAGTGAATATTAGTGAAGTAGTAAAGCAACTTTCTAAGGCTTCATAATTAATATATGACTGATTATCCTCCATTTTCTTCGATTTAAAACATTTAGGTGATTCGTATTATATTTATTTGTAGTCTTTTAGTTTTTGAGTGAATTTCTAAACATCGCTTTTGCACTATAATTGAAAATGTACTGTCTAGCTCCTTGTCTAGCACAGGAAACGTATATTAAAAATATTAACTTTTAAACATGCCTGGTTACTTCCCCCTCCTCTCCTCTAAAAATTAGATGTAATGTACGTATGTATAGAGAATAGCATTAGGTTTGTTTTCTGTGACGGAACTATGTATATTTTTGGAACTTAAAGTGAGATAAATATATATATATATATATATATGATTTTTATTGAAAGCGAGAAAGAGAATTCTAGTGCAGTCTAGTACAGGAACAGAAAACAAACCAATTATCTTCAAATAGTAAAAGTTTTAAACAAATTTTAAGAAGTCATTTTGCGATACGATCACCTTAAGTTATATATAATATATCGCTTCTTTATAATATTTTTGCTCTGTTTTGTGTGTGTGTGTGTGTGTGTGTGTGTGCGTGTGTGCGTGCGTGCGTGCGTGCGTGCGTGCGTGCGTGCATGTGTGCATGCGTGTACAGGATGTAAATTTTGACAGCGCTCGTGAGCAGATAATATAGAGTGGATTAAACTGAGTCGTAAAGTCCTGTAGCATCTTGCAATTTTTGCAATAAATAACGAGATATTAATTTCTAAAGATTGCCGAATAAGGGACATTAATAAAGCCGACCAAAATTAATCGAGTTGGTCGAAGTGGCTCTAAAGAGATAAAATCGCGATGCATAAGACAACTTTAAGATATATTTGAGAGCTCTTTAAAAAATATTTTAAAGATGTTTCTTAAAGAATCTTAAAGACTCTTAAAGATATAGATTATTTTATGTGTCGCTTTTAGACATTCTGTAAGAAATTTAGAGGAAACAGGCAGAGAAGCTATCAGCGTCAAGTCTGTGTGACTCTTAGCAGAACGAAAGTTTACCAATGTGGAGGAGACTAGGCCTCGATTCGAATCCTGGAGTGCCCTATAATTATATATAATTTTTCTCGTCGCTTATTTCTTATAATTCTGCTTACTATATGACTAAAAAATAAAAATTGCGGAAATTGCAAAATGATAAAGGACTTTTCAACTCAATTTAAGTCGCTTTATCTGTTCATGAGCGCTTTGTCAAACTTACCGGACACCTTGTATGTACACACACACACACACACACACACACACACACACACACACACACACACACACACACACACACACACACACACACGCACGCACGCGCGCGCGCGCGCGCGCATGTATACATATGTACAATATATTGAAAAATATACATATATTGAAAAAGAATATTATATCAATGCAATTATATTTTGTAAACTCGTTAATCGATTAACAAATATCAAGCATGAAAAAAAGAAAGAGGAAATATTTATACGTATAGTAAAAATTAATGGATTAAAGAATGCCGAGTTTTATAGGGGAATTTGGGCCCCGGATGAACAACTTTGAGACATGCCTAAAATTTTAAGATATCAAAAGAGAATCCATAAGCCCAACTTTATAGGAAAA